ATCAGGATGGAAGGAGTAGTAGGGATATAAAGCAGAGGATAGCGCAGGGTCGTGTCGCCATAATAAATAGAAGTCACTTCTATGCTCGGGAACGGTTAATTTAGAAATTCGAAAAAGGTTGTTAAAGGTGTATGTTTGGAGCGCTGCGTTGTACGGGTGCGAAACATGGACAGTGGGCGCGGCGGAAAAGAAAAGGTTTGAAGCCTTCGAAATGTGGTGTTATAGGCGGATGATGAGGATAACGTGGGTAGAAAAGGTTAGAAACGAAGAGGTATTGGAAAGAATAGAAGAACAGAGGACTCTATGGAAATCAATAAAAAATAGGGGAGATAGGTTGGTAGGACACTTTCTCAGACATGAAGGTCTAATCAGAGACATATTAAAGGCAGAAGCAGGAGTTAGAAGGGGTAGAGGTAGACCTAGGTTAGATTACTGTTCGCAAATAGTTAAGGATGTGGGTTGTTCTAGTTTTAGGGAAATGCGAAGTTTAGCTCAGGATAAGAAAGAGTGGAGGTACGTGTCCAACCAGTCTTAGGACTGACGACCGTATGATGATGAAGCTGTATTGATAAAACAGTATATAAAAGTAAAACAAAAAAATTTTAATGCAAGGGAAGGGAAAGTAGGAGACGAAAAATTAGCAGAAGTGGTTGATTTTCGGTATTTGTAGGAAGTCAGATAACTCAGGATAGGAGGAGCAGTAGAGTGCGGACCGGGAATCGAGCTAATCCGTTTTGTCATATTAATTACTAGATATTTTTTCTTTAAGATTGATGGTAGATGATACACCTAGCTACTACTCAGCTGCCAAAACTTTTTGTAACGTATTAAATCGAACGAATTTAACGAAAGAAGACTCTCCGGGTAACTTTTGAAACTTTGACTTTGCGCCATCTAATCACACGACTTCTGACATCCAGTAATGGTGAAGTTTTCTGCAGAATGTCTTCTTCTTCTTCGGTCCGGTAATAAGTTAAGCATTAAAAATTTAACTTTTCAATAACGAACTGAGATGTTCTCGCGAATTTCAACTCGAGGGACCGCAGAAAACGAGACAAATGAGTAATTGGCCATAAGGATTGACATTGTTAAATGAATGATGTCATTTGTTCCTGAAATTAATTAATCGATCTTACCTATTCTGAATTTAGGCGTTCCTCTTTTTTTTTTTTGGTTAAGAAAGTTTTGCATCTGTTTAAAATCCACTCGCGTCTAGCAGGTAATGAAATAAGTTTTCCGGGTGGGACATTATAATTAAAATGATGGGTGAGGTGACTTTTCCGATCGAAACTTTCCGAGGCATTTGACGGTCGCAAATGTCATTTGAATTCGGAAAGCGAAGGAATTTTATATGGTATATCTTCCGTGCCTAACGGCCAATTGGTTGTGCCGTTTTGAAACCATTTCGATCCGAAAAACAAGACGTAAAACAGTCGAATAGCCAAACTTTCTACCATATTTTTTCATACAGTAACGACATGTTTGATTTTTTTCTTTCAGTTTTATGCGTTTACCAAACTATCGGGTTGTTCGGAAAGTCATTTCGTTTTTTCCCGACAGAGGATTTAATTGTATTCTTTTGCACCCAACTTCACATTTAAGCCGTATAATTTTTATATGCTTTGAGAGCTCATATAGCAAGGCTTGTGTGTGAAAAAGTCCAATTAATTCTACGCAGTAGTTTTTGGTTGGTG